TCCCTTTTCACCCGATCTTGCCCCGAGTGACTTTTTTTGTTTGTTTCCCTGGATGAAAAAAGTCCTCAAGGTGAAATGTTTTGCTGATGTGGAAGAGTTAAACAAAAAACAGTAGCTGCACTAAAAGCCATCAAAATCGATGAGTTCAAAAACTGTTTCGAGCAGTGGAAAAAAGTCTTAGTAGGTGTATTGCATCATATGGAAACTACTTTGAAGGTGACTAAAGTTTAAACATATAAGAATAACTACACATTTTTTATAAATAAATTCTGGGTTTTTGAGGGCCCCCGTTGTATAATTCAACAAATTAACCAAAAGTTGAATAACTGTACCTAGAATCTTGGGTAAAATAGAGGTCAACCTGGAGAGAAAATTCTACAGCCACAACTTGGGGTTCTGCTGTGACCCAAGCAACACCATTTACTAACACTGTAAAGAAATAACTAGAAGCTATTCTTACTCAATTTGCCAACTGAAACAGCTGGAAAGGGTAGTTAATACAATGAATGGCATAAAAAATAAATAAAAAGTCCTGAAATTTTAGGCTGATATAAAGAAGTGGAGATAAAATACAGGTAAAGATGAATTCTTTCATCCAGGGTATAAAAACTTGCCTGCAAATTGGGTGAGACCTAGATTAACAATCCTCCACTTTCTTAGGATTTTCAGTTGATTGGATCTCCAATCTGAGCCAGGTTATCGTGTGGATGCTAAACAACTAACAGTACTCATTTTAGGGTGTGAAATAACAGGTACACAGGATCGCAAGACAGGGAAGTAAGTATTTCTATTCCACCATGAGCTTATGAACTAGTTGGAGAAGCCACTTCAATTTGGGGGCCACATTGTCATAGAGAAAATAGGTAATCCAGAGGTTAGGCAAAGCAACATGACTGGAGGGAAGTATTTGGAAACCAGGATAAATGAAAAACAAGTTTAAAGAAGAGGGGCTATCTGAGAGAAGAGATGATTAAAGACGTGACAAGACGACTGTGCTCAACAAGCTCTCTGTTGCACTGGGCCCAAAGGGAGCAAATGACAGAACAGGTGGTTTCAGTTCCACGTAGAAAAGTTTTTTAACATTAGATCGGCCCCAACCATGGTAAGCATGGGTTGTCCATGTGCAAAGGTGGCCCTGGTAGGTGAGCTAGAAGGGAGGGTTTCACAAGTGTGTCTCAGACTGGCCAAGGTCTGCACATTGCTTTCATATACCTGGGTGTTTGAAATTGTGGAATGCTGTTAAATAAGGTTGTGCCAGTTTCCCTCCACACACAAAGGATTCATTTTGCTTCCAAAGAATGTGAAGCTAGGTGGATTTTCCTCTAACAGTTTTTCTGTGCCTTGCTTGTATATCTGAGGCATTCTTTTTATTGCTAAAGAATTCAAAACATGAAGACAAGATGTTAAAAGAGAGGGAAGGCAATCCTGGGTTATATCACTCGGCCCCTCTGTCTCTTTGATGTTCAAGTCCACTGCCTGGAGGAGCAGCACAGACAGTCTTTCCATCTTCCAATTATGCTCTTAGATCTCACAGCATTCTACATCTGAAGCCAGAATAGGAAAGACTGGCGAAAGAAGTGGCCTTTGTATGTAAGAAGAGATCATGGCCATAGTCATAACTGTTTTTCATAAAAAGTCCTCACAACTTCAACTATGAGATATGCAATAACGTTACATCACCTTGCCATTGTGATTCTCAAAAAATAAATCTATTAAACAATTGATTTAAATAAAGCATTTCACACTTATTAAACATAAATGACGAAAAAGTGTATGCCATCCTTTTTAGTCATTACCACCTATAAAATTTGTTAATAGTAAGATACTGCAGAATGGACTGAAATAAATTTCAAGGTCATTAAACATCTCTATCATTTTAAAAATAGTAATTTTTTAATGAACTTAGAGTTCATCAATTTGGAAAAAGAATACAATGGAAACTTTCAGATATTTATTATAGCAAATCACTTTTCACATATTAACATATTAAAACTGTATTTGTATAGAAACAATAGTACTAATTACATTGGAGCCTTAAGCTATTCATTAGCACGTAATTGATGTTAAACAAGATTGTTTTAGACACCCTAAAATATTAGAGGCTTAAGAGACAGTGAGGATAATTTACAGTATTTATCAATATTCAGGTTTGGAAACTGAGTCACAGAGGGGTGAAGTACTGCCCACCCAAGTCTGAGCAGTTGGTTACCATGAAGTGAGGTCTAGGACCAGGTGCCCCCCGTTCACTGTCAAATGCTTGTAGTAGCACAGCATGGAGTAACTGAGTCCCAAAGTAACCGAAGTTAAGACATGCTGTCTGAATGCCTGCCTTACACAGTAAACTCTTTTGAGCCCTAGTGAAGGAATATGTATACAGAAAAGAAACTGCTTTTATTTAAAAACAAACAAACAAACTTGTAGTCTTGCAAGGAAAATAAACCTGGGAAACTAAGTCATAGTTCTATTATAAAATTGTTATAAGTTAAGATATCAATCTAAGAAATTAAAGTATATGATTTAGTTGATATGTGTTTCCTAAAAAGTTATAGGAGCTTCAAGAACATTGAACTCACCATGAGATGGGAAGGTGGAAGAATGTTGAGAAGGGAAGTGGAAGCTGACTTGGACTTTGAAAAACAGGGAGGTTGTGGAGGGAGAGAAAGGAAGGATGGCATTACAGAAAGATGGAACCGTGTGATTATCTGTAAAGAGCACCGCCAGAACAGCGTCCTGTGGTGTTACTAGTACTATTAGATAAGTGATATTGTCATTTATCTGAAGGGTCATTTCCACCAAGAAGAGAAATTTAACAGTTACTATTTGTCCTGGTGAGTTGTGAAAAAAAGATGAATGGGAACTATTAATACAATGCCTTATTTATGTATTTACTTACTTATACCTCATTATTTCACAAAGAAATTGAGGCAGCTTTCAAAAATATAGAACATAAACTGAATAAAAATTATTAAGGAAAATGATCATAAACCCAAGATTAAAAGCAGCACTCACAGAGAAGCAGATTGTATAGTCTAGATTGGCTGTTAGTCAGAGGAGGGGCTTAGGGCGGATGGAAATAGATTTAATCTTTCCAGGATTTGCAAGATTTTTCATGCATTAGATTAAAAATGAAATGCAAACCTTGTAATTCAAAAGCCTAGCCTTTCCTAATATTGAAACGTGAGAGAAATTTCTCCCTGAAGACATCATAAAGAAGTCATCGATTGATGTAGGAGGTGCTGGCCTCACCCCCACCCCTGACCCCACGAATGAAGTGACTAATTTCACACGGCTATTCCTCAGTGCAGGACAAAAGCATCATGCAGAGGCATGACTCAGCTACAAAACAGGGTGGCCCACAGGCCCAGCCTTCCTTGTCACATAAGGGTAAATTTAGAGTGTGTGCTGGATTGGAGGGATGCGCTCCATGTTCTTCAGTTCATATTGATACATGTATTTACTCAATATTTATTGATTGCATGCCATGTGCAGGCGTGGAGATATAGACATGAATAAAAACAGGCAGCCATTCTCATGGAGTTAAGTATTCTAGTGGTGGGAGAAGGATCACAGGCAAATAAATGTATGAGAGATGGTGGGAAAGGATATGTGGAAAAGTAAGACAAGGTAAGGTGATAGAGAACATGGTGGGCAGTGTGAGATTCATATTTAGAAAGGGTAGTCACACACCAGCTCTCTGATATGGTAATATCTGGGCTAAAACCAGCAGGATACGAGGAAGGAAACACTGAGATGTCGGGGGGGGGGGGAAGTATTGCATGCAAGGGGAAGAATTTGTACAAAGGCCCTAAGTGAGGAGCATGCTTTGCGCATCTGAGTAGCTGGAAGATGGCCAGTTGAGCATCAGCAGGGAGAGGGTCTTCTGAAAATAAAGGATGCTGAATGAGGTGAGAGAAGGGAGTAATGATGGAGTCCATCATTTCTTCAGAAAACCCCTACTGTGTCTGTTTCAGCACAAGCCAAAGGCAGCTGAGGTCTGCCAGTGGATACCATAGAACACGACCATCATCATTTTAGCACAAATATTGAGCTAAAACCGGCATTAAAATCACCCACTAGAGACACGGGCTTTTGTCTAAAGCCACTTACATTACACATAGACTATTAGAGCGAGACAACTACACTTATCATTTCTGACACGTAAATATCCATAGAATGTCTTAATTTTGTATCCTGGTGAAACCTCCAAAGTTTTTCAAATGCAAATTGCATCCCTAGGTACCTGACATGCACTACCAAGTCGTCCATTACATTTAAGCCAGCTGAGTGGTGCAGGGCATCTCTCAAGGGTGTTCTGCTTGATTTTAAACACAATCTGGCAATTGTATGAGAGCAGAACCTACCATATCGAGGGCACTTACGTGTGTCAACAAACTGCCATCAATTTGGAGAAGACAGCTTACTTTTGTGTCCCCATAGCAGGGGCAGGCATCCAGCACACTGACAAGCGGTACCAAATCAGTTAGACACAAGTGGAAAGAAGGAGGGGAATCAAAATATTCCTTTATTTTATACCAAGAGAAATGTTGTCTCAGGAGCCTGTCCTATAAGCCTTTGTGATCTTCTAACAGATATTAAGACACTGGGTCTATAAGAGGATTGATAATTGGTTCCATATTAAGTTTAGAGATCTCAGTACCTTAACGATCCCCCCAGAAAAATGTGGTAAGTAAAATAGTAATAAAGCCAGCAAGTACCATGTGTTGTTTGTCACAGATTTTGTCCCAAAGTGACAGAGAATATATCAAAGGCCTATAATGAACCATTTTAGTCTAAAGATCACCTTGCACCACACAGAATATATTAGAGTGAGAATACTATGCTTGTAATTTCTGTCAAGAAGAAAACTGACATAGGGGTTAGGTGTCCAGTGTAAGTTTATAAACTGAACCATGAGTATCAAAACCTGTGTAATATTAATTTATTCATTCAACAGTAAAATTAAAAAAAAATATTATGTGAAATTAAATGGAAACCATCACCTGCTCAGCCAGTAATGAAGCTAAGCTTGAATAAGCATCTGCAAACTCTGGACCATATTTAATGGAATCCTTCAGTAAAGTGATAGCCTCTTCTTTTTTCTCCTGGGACCTATAGATTATAAGAGGGGGGGAAAAACATCTTTTAATAAAACTTTGTTTTGATCATCTGATTAGGCTTTAAGATCTATTTGTTTTAGCCAAGAGTAACTGATCCACTCTGCAAATGAGCTGCAAATGAATTGGTTTTATTGCAAATGAATTGAACTACACTGTCTCAAGGCGTTAACAGTTTTGGCCTCTGAATTCTCAGGGGAAAGACATGTTAAGGCATAAATGATGCTGCAGGTCATTCACTAATTTTTCTGCCTTCACTTCCTATTATGCACTTTTGGGGAGTTTTATTGAATATCTTTCAAGTTTGTTAGCCAGAAAGTTAGACAGCCTCTCAGAGCAGCAACTTTGTGGCAAGTTGGGTGAGCAGCTGGGTGGCGTAGGAGCCAGGCGCTGGGCTGTGGAAGATGATATGAGCCCTGGGCAATGCACCGCCCCTCCGTGGGGCGGAGCCCCGTGCAGCGGCTGGCCGAGCAGCCCTTAAACGACAAGCCAGCCAGCCTGCCCACATTAGTCTTTGTTTTTATAACTGAGAGATATACATTTTAAACATAACTTATGACATTAGAAAATACTGTGACCACCAGCTTGCAAACAACGATCAGCTCTTTTACCATCATATTTTTACTATGACTTGAGGCTGGGTCTGTTGTTTTTCATTTCAATCTTCTCCCAGTGATTATGCCTTTGGTTCTAAGAGTACCCAAGGCCCCAGAGTCATTACCACTATATTGGGTGACAGCTCCCTTTCCTCTTAGTGCCATGAGGAAACCCTGGGTCATTCTCCTAGTATCACAATCTTTGACGCTGAAAATAGCTGCTGGCAATGATTGACTTTGCTACTTGTATAACTCCACAAACTCTGATCATTTGCTAAGTGCTAGATATTGTAAATGGCAAAAGAAGTGGAATGAGGAACTATTGGGCACACAGCCAAGGGAGCCCCATCTTTACCAGCCACCAGTGCTGAATCGTGTGCTTCCATTCTTACTATTTAGAATCAACAATCATTTACTCAGCAATGAATATCTACCATATGCTCTGGTAAGTTTTCATGTAATGTCATTAATTTAATTCTCATGACCATCTCATGTAGCAGGTATTATTCTCTTATACTCATGTTCTCTAATGAGAAAATTTGGATTCAGAAAAGTCAAGTGACTCATCATATTCACATAATCCATCTTCTGAGTCAAGAGCCAGCGCTCCTCTAGCACACCATGTCTGCTCATTCTAACTACCGATTTACCTCCGGTGACCTTGCTGCTCCAAGTGCGATTCATGGACCAGTGTCATCGACATCACCTAGGAGCTTGTGAAAGACGCACAGTCTCAGGCCCTAAACAGACCCATCGAACCACAGCCTGCATGTTAAAAAGACTCTCAGGTAATCTGTGCACATGCTGAGATTGCGGTATAATTGCTCCATGAATTATTAAAAGTGGTTGAAAGTAGCTCCTGCTACAGAAACCCCTCAGGCTTCAGTCTCTGCAGGATAAAGATCTGCAGAGGGAAAACTAATATTGACTCCCATGCCTGAGTTCCAAGTGTTAGAAGCAGCCTATTACAAGGTGATTTTACTTGGAAGATAGCCTTTTATCACAGAGCTTGGGGAAAAAAAAGTGTTTCTGGTGCATACCTTGCATTTAGCTATTTAATGTAGCAAACATTTATCATTGTCTTTTACGTGTTAGCTGTTTCCTGAAGAAGGTGGCTATCTGTGCTGTCCTCTCCTCTTTGGGGTCTAGCTGACTCCTATTGGTCTCCTCTCCACGCACAGTCCTGCCCTGGCATTAAAGTGCAACCCCTGTGTCCCTAAGTAGATCGTCCTTGGGATGTGGCTTTAAAGTTGCATGGTTATAAAACATTTGCATTACAGCTCTCTTGGCGCTGCTTTCATGTCGATTCATTCATTTCAGTCAACACATTTAAAGAGGGCCTGGAAGATTCTGTGGAGGTCACTGAGTTTACATACTCTCGAGTTTCTATTCTAAAATATTTCTTGAAGTATTTCTTGATTGGCACATATTTTTAAATAAAAACTTCTTTTTTTAACACTGGTAATTTTACTATTGGTTTCATGGTTAGCAGGGCTCTTCCTCTGAGGATTTTGTAAATCTTTATTAACATTAATTTGGAAATTTGCTCCAAATCCAATGGAAAATATGGATTTAGGAAATTAAGGCTGAAAAGTAAGTGCCTCAGGATGTAATTTAGCTTGGATATTCTTCAAAATTAGCAGGAAAAAAACAACCATTTGATTGTCAAATTTTCAATCCAAATGGCAACTTAAACCTTTTATGTATGAACTCAGTGAGATCAGTTAGCTCTTAAAATAGTCCATGATCATTGGTGAGACATAGTGAAAAACTTAGCATCAAAGTTATGTATAGGGAACTTGAATTCTTTATGAAAACTGTATTTCTATGAATCTCTGAAGGGACAGACTGGCACACTTTCAGAAAACCACAGTATCTCACAATTTCGTTTAGTGTGAACATTGCAATATGTAAATACATGGGCCATTTCCTCTTGGCTTTGCATCCTCAGTGGCTCTACTTCCCCATGAGAGCCTTTGAGAGTCGGTCATCAGACACCGAGGGGCACATGCCATCTTAACCGGCTGTTATAAAAACTTTTTAATGAAAGCCCTCAAAATTAATATGTGATAATTTTGTTGTTTTTGTTTCCGAAAGGGAAACAAATAGTAGGTATGTTAACTTAGAGGGAAATAGAAGACCTATTTCTTCTGTGGTCTGTGTTTGCTCACCCTTTGGTGGGAGTTTATGAAATAGGTGTGGATTTGACACAGTAACTTATAGCAGATAATTCACCTAAATGGAACCTTCCTTGGTCACCTGGTCATGCAATTACCACATGAGAACTTAGCTTCACTTCAACCTGTTTCTGAAGAGCATCCCTTTCATATCTACATTATGGCCCATGTCCTTCTGATAATTAGCTCATATAAAAAACAAACAAACAGGGGCAATACTCCTACAGTCCTACTAGATTATTGCAATCTGGAGCACACCTTACTTTGTTCTGCTTGCTAACATACCTGAGTTGGTACCCTCAGTTTGCAACCTGTTTCCAGTTCCCTCTCTCTTCTCCTTTCATGACATATAGACAACTGCAACCAACATTTGTTTTCCTAGAGCATCCACCCATTTCCTTACATAAACGTCTTCACCAATGCCCTACTACCTACAGACTCTTAGTTTCACACCTTCTATGTCACGGTTCTGACCACTGTTTAAACATACCCAGGTGTCCACTAGTCCAGCTGGACTGGGTGGCCTTTGACACCTATTCCCCAGAACTTGAGATCTCCTACTCCTTCTCTGCCCTCGCTGTCCCTTAAAACCACTTGGGGTGCTTTTCAAAAGAACTTGGTGTTATGAGGTTGGGCCTCCTCATGGGAAGCTCTCTGCAGGAATGTGGCAGCCATCCGGATCTGAGAACTGTGGGTATAGTCTAACCTCCTTGGTTTATAGTAGTGGAAACAGAGACTCGGGGGCCTCAGTGATCTGCTCTGGTCCCAAGCAAAAAGGAAGGCCGCACCCAGGTCTGGTGCCTCTCAGCCCAGCACTCCTGCCTGTACCTCACAGGCGGCTTTCTCCTCCTGCCCGCGCAACTTCTGCTCCCTGGGAGCCTTCCCTGACTTCACCAGCTCACAGCATGATCCCCTCCTCAGGGCTCCTAAACATGTAACAAAGTCAGCAACCACATATATGCTCCCTCTTTTATATTTTGGTTTTCTTTTTTCAACGAAGAACAAAACAAACAAAACATAACAAAAAAGGTGGCAGGGGATTCCCTGTTAGGAGCCCTGTTACGGCCTCTGAAGCGGCGACTGCTCTCTGCCTTCCTGCTCTGCATTCTAAGGAGTAACTGGGCCCCACCTTACTTTTCTTCTGGGCTCAGCACGTGAAGGGCTCCCAGCGTGGCCTCCCACAGAAGGGTGCAGGCTTGTGTATGAGTGAAGGGGTCGAGCAGACAGGTCTTTCAAACTGCGTTTCCCATTGCTGAACATTTTACTCCCCACGAAGGAGAGAGTGATTCTTTTGCATTATTTATTTTAATTCCCATTAAGCAGTATGAATTAGGTAGAATTACCTTCATTTTAAGTACTAGTGACCACAACCCCAACAACAATAAAAAACACTGAGATTGGGAGAGATGGAGTGATTTTCCCACGGCACACAGCTACTCTAACAGCAGGACTCTGTGGTTTGGAACTTCAAACACAGCACACCCATCCACAGACCACAGTCCGCACTTCTGTCTCCACTCTCCTAAATGTTACGCATCGTGTCTGTGAGCAGTGCCAGGTTTTAAGTGCCTTCATACACAGGACCCATGTCTTATTCACGTTGCTTACTTCTTTTATCCCAGCGATCTGCCCAAGGTGGAAATTCAGTAAGTTTACCACTGTGATCTGCACAGAGTAGAAATTCAATAATTGCTAAATTACTTTTTAAAAACCATGGTTTTTCTACTTTCTGTATCTTAGATCTTTGCAAATCTCTTTTAAGTTTTCCGATATTCTAATAAAAATTTGACAGAGGATAATACGATCCATTTTATACCTCTGTTTCTATACCTCTTCAATATTATAGAAGTGATCCTAAGGCAGGCAGAAGCACCCAATGCTTGGAATCATAAAAAAAATGACAAGTTTAGTTTCCATTTTATGAACCCTTCTATCTTACCAGGCACCGCTAAGCAGCTTCTCTACCCTGAGTCTGCACAGTGCTTAAAAGCACAGACTGAAAAACCAGGGCTGGGTTTGGGCTCTGCTCCTACCGTTTACTAGCTGTGATTCCTCAGGCAAATTATCTGACCTCCTTGTGTTTCGGGGTCACAGTAGGTATGATGTATGTTTTGGTTTTTATTAGTTTATTTAATGTTTCTAAAAATCACCCATTAAAATCAACCTCTCTCTTCTTTTTAAATTAAAATTTAAAATAAAGCAGAATGTGGTGTTTTTGAAAT